GAAAACTTCTCCCTGGCTTTCAGTTCCACAGTTTGGAGATTGGGACCAGAAGGGACAGATGCCAGACTACTCTCTTGATTTCTCAAAAATTAGGGAAAATAGGAAACAAAACAAGAGAGACGTGTCCCGGGCGAGTCTTGGAAATGAAGAGGAGCTCATTGCCCCAGCCGCTCCCCCAACCACAACAGACTCTTTCCCCACTGAAAACCATCACTCCTATCGTCAGAGTCACCATCCTTCACCAGTAAGATTATTGCTCCTACGACCTAAAATTTGATATTGGTAATTTTTTGATTGTCTGATAATGACTTGCATGCTCTTATACACATACCGTTTGGTCAACTAAAGAATCAGTTGGGTTGGGTTGGGTTACATGTGTTGTATGTGCCTGTGGGTCCATGCTGCCTGCTATTATCCATTAACTCGTGGGTACAGCTATATTGATTGTGGAAAAATCAATATCAATATAAGCCCAAAAGTTTCAAGGTCAAAAGACACTTTCCTAAAGTGTCATCTAATTTTATGATGAATAAGCTAAATGAAAGTTTAAATTCCTTGGATATCAGATCTCCTACCCTAAATGTTGTAGATGAGGTAATCGTTCTAGACACTTGTAGTTACATGTATATATTTCAAGAAAAGATCCGAGTGACTTAACATACTTGCTACTTTTTATATTGTTTTATTGTTTGGATTATTTAGAAGGTTAGCTATTATTTTGGCGAAGTGAAACATGCTTCATGCCTGCTTCAGCTTTTGGGAAGAGAATTCTCATTTACTGTTTGCTAATGTTAACAACGTCTGTAATGATACATCCTATGCCTCGTCTCAGGGTATAAAATTTAAACAAGAACAATACAACCGATTGATGATTGGATAAAGATTAAAATAAATTGTTTAAGAAGCAGAATGCCATAATATTAGTAGTCAGCTCAGTTGAAGGCGGAATTTTAGGTTATTCAGCACACTTAAAGAACCAGTCACGGGCCGTGATTCTTGTTGATCGTTTAGATGTTATGTGGGAAGTGTGATTAGTGATATTGACTTCAAGATAGGTTTGTGGAAACAAGTTGGGAGCGGGGTCCTCTATGCACCTAGCCCATTAGTATGAATAAGTGGTGTGCATTCATCTGGTGTTTGTTGCCATATCTCTCATAGATTGAAGCTGGGATAGTAAATCCTATTTCATATTGAGGAATTTCCAAACAGGTTTTCTTTTCTTTCTTACATGGGGAAGAGATTTTCCTTACCAAGGACATATTCTAATTTATGTCAATGTCTAGTGATTTTTATTCTTATTTTCTTCCAGTTTCAATTAAAGCTAAATAAAGGGTAGTTGAGTAATTAGTGTATGCGTTGTTTTATAGTGATAATTTCTGGACCACTCTTTGTATGTTTCACTGATGTGTATCTTTCATTATCTATGTTTTTTTTTTCTTCGCATTAAACAAAGAACAGTTGTCCACAGAATACGACATTAATTACTTTGTACAAACTAACTTATAAATTTGGATAGATGAGATGCTGGTTGGCTTGCCTAATCAGACGTAGCATGAAATATTTCTATGATTCTATTTTTAGTTTATTATATCAGTCAAAATCATAATCATGTTTTAGATTTTAATTGGTTTGGCCATTTAGATATTTTTACCTGGTTAGAAGTATGCTTTATTTAAACTTTATTTGTTTTCATATTTAGTCAAACTAGTGACTAACTCAGTTGATGTTATAATGGGTTCAAAATTTAGCCCCTCTTTTGGTCTTCGTTAGTGGGTTGTTTCTCATATTATTGCAATGAATATGAAGCCATGAAGTTATGAAATCTGTGTCCCGGTATTTAGTTGAAAAACCCTGGGCTAGTTCAGTGGAGTTGAAGTTGTATAAAGTTGTAAACTAAACGTCCGGCCCAAAACTGGGGAGCCAGACCTCTAGCTCGAGATTTGGGGTCTTACCAAAATCTCAACACGTGGGCTCAAACTTGTTTGAACTAGTGTACCATCTTTTTCAATTTCATGTAGATATGAGATCTTATCAAATTAACAGTGGGACCTGTTTTTTTTATTATTATTATGTATGGTAAATTGTGTTCATTTTTTGATGATTTGTACAAATAATTTTGGTTGTTTTGCCAGCCAAGAAAGAGCATTCTAAGCTACTTCAACTGCTGCGTGAAAGCCTGAAATAGTCTTGAAGACCTTTACAGCAGGCCCACTTGTAAGTTGAAATGTCATTGTATTAATTACTTCTGTACGGATACCTGTATCGTCCTTTACTTGTCTTGCTGCTTAGAAACTGTACAATTGTATTATATTTTTGGATTTTGTTTGATGCCTTTGTTCTTGCCTGTAGCTGCCTCTGTTTCATTTATTCTGCCTTGAATCAATCTGTTGAAAAAACTAGGAGGAAATGTAAAATGCATCGGGCCTAGATGACTTGTTTCGAATACTTAAAAGAGGGGGAAATAAAATGTTAGAAATCATGACTCTCTACAGTGGTATGATATTGTTCAATTTGAGCATAAGTGATATGAACTAAGAGACATCAATCATACAATATACTTCAATGAAGATGTGAAGAAAAGGTTGTCAAAATTATCAAAAGATGTTTCAATTCATGCTACATTGAAGAAGAATAAAGTTTGATTGTTGTAAATTTTGGGTGGGTTATAATTTAGAGTAATTTAGAGTTATTTATCAATAAGCTTTCGTGACTTTGTTTTGGGCTCCCCCAAAAGGCCTCGTACTAATGGAGATTATTCCCTCACTTATTTGGAGATTCTATTGTCATGACTAAGTCTAGAGCATGGTTCTGATACTATGTTAAGAATTACGACTCTCCGCAATGGTATATTGTCTACTTTGAGCATAAGCTCCCATAACTTTGTTTTGGGCTTCCCTAAAACGCCTCATACGCTCAGGATGTATTTCCTCACTTATAAACCCATGATCATTTCTTAAATTAGCCAATGTGTGGCCCACTCCCAACCGTCCTCAACATAAAAGTTCTCTAGTCACAATGATAATGTTTCTTCTAATTACTTTGCTTGTTTTTGCTTCTCAAATGAACTTTGTTGGTACTACTTCATGAAAAAGCTGGTGTAAAATGTTAAAAAAGTAAAGATAAAATGACAAAGAAACAGAATTTACATTGCTGTTTTTGGTAGTTGCTTTGTTGGTCTCGAGTGGAAAAAAAAGTGGTGGGGGCCTGGTGGTGGTAGGTGTAATTGGAAAAGGGTTGGTAAAATAGCTTTTATTTCCAACTATAACTGAGAAAAGGGCCAAACAAATAGACTTTATGCTCAAACTTTATAAGCTACCAACTCTTTCATAGATGAACATTTCTCTTGACCTAATATACCAACAATCTAGTTATGTTATACCTTTTAGTCTATTGAGTATAGTTGAATTTAGGTCAAATTATTATTTTAGTGTTTCAATTTAGTCTATTGTTTCAAAATTTTAATCGTAGGCTCTTTGGCTTGGTTAAATCCCTTAGACATCGATATCTTTAATAAGTGTTAATCTTTTTGCATAGGGCATATATTATTTGGACATAATAGAGAGGTAATGAACCGGTGCTTTTGTTAATAGTATCTAGGACTCAATTAGGATAAAAATATAAAAACATAAACCAAATTAATGTTAGATAGGACACAAAGATATATCATATGTTGTAAGTTTTTTTTAGTGATAAATCTATAACAATTGAGGTCTATTTGCGTAGACCTCTCTACGACTGAAGCCTATCGATAATATTCATATGCTTATTTGTTATTAATTCTATCCATAAATTTAAATAGTGAATTAGTGATAATATCAATAAAAAAAAAATGATAACAAACAACATTGATTTATTAATAGCAATACATTAACTAATATAAAATTTTGCATGTCTATCTCCAATGTGATAGATTTACGAATAACCTATTAATGATTAATATGAAAATATTAATGATTAATATGAAAATATTTTACTAATGGTAGGAAAGTTTATTTGATTCAATCATCTACCTCGAATTTACATGAATCACTAAATTTTAAGAAATTATATTATATTCACGTGGGGAATTTATGTATTAAAAAATTTAAAACAGAATTGAAATAAACATAGAAATAGATTTCGTATTAAAGTGTTTTCATGGTGCCTAAAATTTAGCATTAAATTTTACAAATTAAAGTCAAATTGGTCACTTTTTAAAAAGGTAAAAATAAAGTAAAAATCATAAAGATTAAAATAAACCTTTAAAAAGCACCCAAGAAATCAAAATATTAAATAAAATTCTAAAATTTATATTTTGACACGTGGCAAGCATTAGAAGCTAGATTTTGAAGTACAGAAACCTACTCCCGAGAAGCCAACTGCCCCGACCTACCAACCACGCCCATTAATTTCCGGTCCCATCCCCTTTTCAGAAAATAAAACGATTATTTTAATTAAAAAAAAAAAGAAGAAAAAATCAATCGACAATTATTACCCCCTGTCAATTCTAAAATATTTACCGTACAGTAAAAAAAATTTTAAAAAAAAAAAGAAAAAGAAAAAAACAAACAACATATTCCTTTCTTTAAAAAAAGTTAAATATTCTCTTGAAAAAACTTAAATATATTATTGATTAATGTACCATTTTATTAGATTAAACTTCACATTTTCTTAAATATAGCTAAAACCGTTACTAGCTAATGAAAATATTAAATAGAATTATTTTTTTAAAAAAATATAATTATTTTTTAAAAAAAATATAATTATTTTTAATTTTTAGTTGAACTAGTTGAATTATATAATAATATGGTAACCTTATAAATTTAATTTTTTTTATTGGAATTTGAATCAAACAATAAGATATTCTTTTAATACAGATTTAAAATTAAACTTGAAAAAGTGGCGACAGATATTTAATCAACTAAAGTTGGTGTCAATTGGCAATAGAATAGAATTTAATTTCGTGGATTAGGGTACATATTATTTATTTTAGTATAAATATGAGCATAATTCATCCCACTTATTTCTTACTTTTTTTTTTTCTTTATGGCGGTTTGTTTGAATTTCTGGCGGAGCCGGAGCGACAACAGTTATAGCGCGCACCAAATTCGATACTCGTACCGGTGATCTTGAAACCTCTCTTCCAGAACCACATGTGCATAGAAATTTGTCACCGCTTGCCCTTCTTTTGGCTTTGATTCTCACATTCTTCATCCTGTTTTGCTTGCCTTTTTGTGTGTGCTACGCGACTTTCACTGAGTTTGTGCTCTCATTTGTTTCCAAATAATTTCACGGCATCCGATCTTTTTTACTGGTTTGGAGTTGCAAAATTTTTTGAGTTTGATCGTTGAAGCTCTACTCTGTCTGTAAGTTTCGTTCCTTCTGAAAGAGTTTGAACCGTTTTCCTGGTTGTTTTTCGAGCTTTCTTACGATTTGATGTTTCTGTAATGCAACTTGGCGTTGATTTGAATTTTTATATTTTGTTTCTGATAATTATTTTCAGTTTTTTATTCACTTTCACTCTTTTAAATCTAATTCTCTTGAGTGATTAATGTTCAATTGAAACTTTAGGTCGTGTGGGGTTATCTAATCCAGTTAGCTGAGAAACTGAGGGAATTTTGGCAGCGACTATGGAGGTCAACGTAGGACATCTGCAGAATTTATCAATCCGGATTGATTCCGGAATGTTTGCGAGGAAACCGAGTGGTTCGGTCCGGTTTCTTCCCCCAATTTCTAAACAGCAGAAGCTGCCACCGGTGGTTTCAGCTTTTCAGCAACCTTTGAGACTTTCTAATCGATGCAGGACGATCTCTGTTGGGGCCTCCTGCTATCGTGAGAATATTTCAGGTAATACAAGATATTGAACTTCCACCGTGATTATAAATGTGCGTTTCTCTTTGTCATTTTTCCTCGTTTCTTTCTTTCGTTAATTCCTTTAAATATTGTCTGAGTTATATTCTCATTTACTATTATTGACTTGGTGATCGGAACTGAATCTATAATATATGCTTCTATTGCTTTTCATGGCTGAGCTTGATTTGTAGTCAGAACTTCAAATCTAATATTTGGATTTTGTTTTTTTGTTTCCTTACGAGAAGTTACAGTCATTTGGATTCTAAAAAGAGTTTTTGGTAAATTCCTCTGCGTCCATTTTCTGTCCTAATTTAATTTTGCATTTCTATTAATAATAAAACATTATGAAAAGCATGAACTACACAGTATAAAAGCAGTCTTATGCTACGTCTACGGCCAAATGATTTGTAGAGTTGTTTCTGTTGATTTCAACGGAACCTTTTGGATTCTGAAAACCTCAACATTTTGTTTTGGCCAATGAATTAAGAACGACCTTTTATTCTAAGTAAACAAAAGGAACAAGAATAAAAGAAAATGATACTCATTTCAAAGAAATGAAAATTGCTGTAGTGATTTTTTAGGTGATTAAATGGATAATGTATAAAATGGTCTCACACTTGGCGTATAAAATCCTTGAAAAATGCATCTCAGCAATTGATCCTCCCTGTTATTATAACCGGTCTCTCAGTGAGTAATATTTTTATTTAGATGTTCTTCTGTCAGACTTTCGAGCATCTGAACCCTTCAAATCTTTGAAGGAGAAGTACTACGCAGAATAGATCCACATTTTTTTACATCATCTTGTAGATATTTTCCATTAGTGACTTTGTTGTCATTAGAAAGACATGCCTTTTATTTTGTTATTTCATTGTTGTCATGAATGATGAATAATCTGTATCGTATTGTCTTCCTCTTGCTTGTCTACAGCAAGCAAGGAAGGTAACCAATTGATTTTGACTTGTTGCTTTCCAATATTCCTTTTGTAGGTTTGGCGTTGGAAACTGAAAATTTTCATCCTTTTGACAAAGATCTACTTTTAAAGGTCAAGCAGAATTCTTGTTTGTTATATTTACTTAAATCTCAAGTAGAGTTGGGGTGACGTGGGATATGTGCTTTTTCTTTCTGATTCATCGAATATACTATTCTCCCCTTCCTTAAATAGCTTTTGGACGATAATTGGTGCAATTTGAACCTTCAAATGTGCAACTCTTAAAGTTTATCTAACTAGAATTTGGAAATATTGCAGAATAAGTCACAAGAGGTCCAGCCCCATCTAAATGGAAAATGCATATATCTAGTCGGTTAGTGTCTTTTCTTATTTACACTTTGTAATTGGCAATTCTTCTGCTTGGATACTAAATCTATCAAAGTGCTCATTTGCAGGAATGATGGGCAGTGGAAAGACAACCATAGGCAAGATTTTAGCAAAAGAATTGAGTTACGCATTTTCTGACAGGTTGTTATTTAATTGCTAACTAGCATAGTACTTGTACTCCGGTTTGAAGTTTAATAAACAAGGAAAGAATGATTATATTGGAAGAAAAATTATTGCCCAATTTCCTCACTGTCACATCATTTTTCCCGCATCCAAGGTCTACTATGAAGCTGAACTGGGCTGGAAGAACAGTACTAAAGTGATATTGAGGACTATTGTAGTCGAATGAATTTAGTGAAGAGTTGCAGCTCCTGATGCAATAAATTGGATTTGCATTAACATCCAATATATGAATTTTTACTATTCTTTCTGATAGAAAATTATGGCATTTATAATTTGCCTCCATCTTGATCCCACATATGTTATTGGAAGTTTCTTGTGAGTGATTTTCTTTCATATTAATTATGCATTACATATCTGGATGCTCCAGTGATACATTGGTGGAGCAAGAAGTTGGTGGAACTTCAGTGGCTGAAATTTTTAAGCTTTATGGCGAGGACTTTTTCAGAGACAAGGAGGTTAGTGATGGTGGATGCCATATGACTATCCTTTCCATCTGTGAAGTAGGTGGTTATTACTCTCTACTGTATTTGAGGTTTTTATGAATTGAATGTAATGTGGGAAGTACAGTGCTTTGTAGATAATTTTCATTGAAATGAGCATATTTTAAATTCTTACGATGCTAGAAGAGGAAAATGTCTGCATGTGATTTCCCTGCTTCCTTTTTTATAGGAATGGGAAGGAATCTGGATTTCTTAGTAATAGTGGGGTTTAGGAATGTCCAAAAGCCTGATGAATTTTTCAGTTAGGTTGAGTTAAAAACTTGTGTAGATTGGTTTGACTACACATAGGTTGAACCTCTGGGGTAGTTAATAAGTATCAAACTTAGTAGTTTGGATTGAACCAAATGAAAGAAAATTGTTTTTCGTATAATAAGGTAAAATAATATAATGAACAACTATTTATAATTTAAGGCATGGAAATAGAGTTAAAGATCTTAATTACTTTTTCTTCAAAGTTTAACGATCAATGATTTGAATGGTCTCAACCAACCCATATAACATGGTTAGGCTCGGTTGAGTTTTGTCCATTACTTAATTCGAGGTTATTTAGGCTGGACAAATTTTACCTGAGCTTTTGTATTGGGTGAAAAATGTCTTTGAATTAAGCTCCTGAACCCACCCCACTGACACCCCTCCCTATTAATTGATTTATTTAAAGTTTGATTGTTGATTTGCTGAACTAGTCGTGGAACTATCAATCATCGATGGATGATATTTTGACAAAGTTTTGAAAACTATGCCGTTTTCTCAAATAGGATGGTTATCAGCCATTCTTGCTACCATCCCCTAGTAACTTCTGCTATGTCTTTTTCCTCTCGTCTAGCTGCTATGCTTTCAAGCAGCTAAGAAAATGTTTTGCAACTCTGAGCTATTATGGCAGATCCAAATTAGTGACAGTGATTTTCCTGTTAGACTGAGGTATTGAGAAAACTATCATCGATGCACGGGTTTGTGATTTCCACTGGTGGAGGTATTGTTGTTCGGCCTATTAACTGGTTAGTAGTTCGGACACGTGACGATTTCTAGTTGTTATGTTGGTCGTCTGTTGTTGATTAGTGAGAGTCGTCCTATTCGATTGTAGGAAATATATGCAGAACGGGATTAGCATCTGGCTAGACGTGCCATTGGAAGCCTTGGCAAAAAGAATTGCTGCAGTAGGTACCGACTCACGCCCCCTCTTGCATAATGAGTCGGGCAATGGCTACACAAAGGTCCAATCATCCAGTCAATGTTTTTACTTATTTAGTTGTGATGCTTGATCCTAATACATCTTTTAATCTTCTGATTCTCACTCAGGCTTTCAGACGACTCTCAGTTCTTCTGGAGGAGAGGGGTGATGCATATACCAACGCCAATGTCAAAGTTTGTTTAGGAAGTATGAATGAAATAAGAACATCTTCATATTCCTCTGTCTGTCTAGAAAAAAAGAGAGTAGTAGAAAGCTAATAACATGATTTTCTGTTCCATTCATTCTCAAGTTACAATGAATGTTTGTTATTTCTATATCTTCTTCTTCTGTTTAAGCACAGGTTTTTGTTAACATTGCAGGTCTTGCAGCCAAACTGGGTTTGTCAGATGTATGTAATCTGACCCCTGAAGATATTGCTATAGAGGTCCCTCTCCTTCTGCCTCCTCATTTATCTTTGTTCCTGTTATGCATGATGATTAAACAAACGATCCAATTTGTTTTGAATTGAAGTATTTTTCCTCCTTCGCAGGCGCTTGTACAAATCCAGCACTTCGTGGAGCATGAAGATGGCTATTGTACAAGTTAAGACTACTGCAGATCATCATCCGGTGTTTAAAGCCTCCTCTCTTCTTAAAGAAGCACGGAATGGCATTGCTTCTACTCTTGCCAATTGTATAACATGGGATCATCAGGTATGAATAACCACTTGGAATGGAACGTCGTCAGTGTTAGAAGTGTATCTATCAAAATTTTGAGACAAATAAAATCTTCTTTTTTTCTTAATTTCTGGGATAATGTATGATATTTATTATATAGTCCATTGCATTTGAAATAAAAAGGCAACTTTTCAAGTTTTAATTTATATTTCATTTTAATTTTGTATGTGTGCATTTTAAATAAAATGAAATTTATGCATTTTAATTTTTTATGGAGTTTGACCACCATCTTAGATTTTTCTTATTTTAAGCGTTATTGAAGTAATATATGATGAACGTAGGTATAGGAATTGAAAATATTTTATCTTAAATTTCATTGCAACATTGATTAGAATTTCTCATTTTCCTAAGGTAAAAAATAATTTTATGTTGTTTCAATCAATTAAAATCATAAACTAATATTAATATTTATATAGATTAAAAAGTCATAACTAAGTTCTCTCCATTTCATTTAAAATCAACTTAAAATTAACAAAATAAAAATATTAATTTCTTTATAAAAAAAAAAAAAAAAACCTAAATAAATAGGAAAAATAGAGAAAATAAATCATAGGAACATAAAATTATTTGTACAACCTCTTGTTAGAGTAACACGACCCTCCACAATGGTATGATATTGTCCCCTTTGAGTAACACAACTCTCAACAATGGTATGATATTGTCCCCTTTGAACTCTCATGGCTTTGCTTTGGGCTTCCCAAGAAGCCTCATTCCAACCTAATAGAGATAGTGTTTTTTTTTATTGGACTTCCCAAAAAACCTCATGAACGTTCCTTAAATTAGTTGACTTTCATCCACCAACCCCTCTTATTTTAAAAATTAATTTCAATTTTATGAGCAAGAGAGAAATTATTTTCTGTTAATCAATTAAATAAAATAATTTATTTTGAATTTCTTAAAATTTAATAGTTAAAGATTATCCAAACATCTTTATCTATGCAGCTAATTTATGAAGAAAAATCCCGGGTTAAATATAAACTTTATGGAATCTCCTAATAGAAATAAAATAATATTATAAATCAAATTATCTAATTATATATACAAATATACAATTATGTAATTAAAGCATATCAAATCATCTAAGTCGATATATAATAATCATAATAATAAAAGAAATAATTACAACATTAGACATATAAATAAAAATATACAAATTAGCAAACAGAGTGGGGACAGGGACGAGGATTTTTTTTTCTCTCTCTCCACACCCTTATTTCCCACTAAAATAATGAACATCAAGATATTTTACGGGGCGGATCATATTTTTAGTCAACTACAAAATTATTTTTAAAATATCCAAGAATGTTTGAACTTATTTTTGATTGAATTAAAAAATCACTTCTATAAATAACATGTTTGCTTTAAACTATGTTTAGCTTTGGGCTTACAAAAAAGACCTCGTACTAATGAAGATAATATTCTTTATTTATAAAACCATGGGAACAAACTGGAGTCTTAGTTGTTTTTTACGGTCTTCGTACCTTCGAGAAGGCTTGACTCCTTTTCTTTTTGGAGCCTTAATCGAGGCTCGACTCCTCTGGAGTCATTTTTTACAGCATTCGTATCTTCGAGGAGACTTGACTCCTTTCTCTTTTTGGAGTCATTTGTTCGATATTTGAGAATTTACCAATCTATTGACACGACTAGGTATAGGGCATGGTTCTGATACCATGGTAGGAATCACAAATCTTTACAATGATATGATATTGTCTACTTTAACCATAAGCTCTCGTAGTTTTGTTTTGGGCTTCCCAAAAAGCCTCGTACCAATGCTTTGGGCTTTCCAAAAAATGCCTCCTACCAATGGAGGTACTCTTTGTTTATAAACTCAGACAAAATAATTTTCTAAATTAGCAATGTGGGACTTTCATCATCCAAACTAGACACAAGTGAATTTGTTCGACTAGTATAATAAAGATTCATAAAGTATAATATAGTATATTATGTGTGTTATATTTATCAATTTTTATGTAATCAAGTCACGCTTCAATCATACAAATTGTTCAAACAAGTTATACATTGAATTTATATATACATGCTTCATACCTCTGATTTGGGCGGAGATTTCAAATGTCATCGGACCAGTCGCCGGGATTGATTTCGTAGAAAAGGCCGTCCACGATCTGGTCAATAAGCGAATCGATGAAGGTGTTGCAGCCGATGCTGAAGATTCGACCTACTCTGTTTCGGGCGTTGGAGGAGAAAGCGAAAATGGCCGCCATAATGACAGCGCCCAAACAGATTCCTGCTGCTTCCTCAATACCTTCCAAATCCATCTTTCTGAACACTGAATTTCCCGTCAACACCTCCATTGTTACGGTCGCCGCAAACACAATCTGCAAATTAATTTGATTCTGAGATTTCCTTGCGGCGATAATTTTAGGTATCGTAATTTGTGATGTTTCCGAAGGTGATTGATGAAGTTCGTGATATTTAATTTGATTAAAAACTATTCACAGCGGGAATCAGTGAGAGGTTATTTCAGTTCCTAATTGTCGATTTCTAAACCTGATTTTGATGTATACGAAAGCGAATTTTCATTTCAATATGAAACCTAGAACTCACCATGGCGAGGCGACCGGAGATGATTTCGAATTCATGGCTATCCTTCGAGGTCTTTATGTACTCGGACAGAGTCGCGAAGAACGGAGAAACGTCGGCGTCGTCGTCGCCTACTCTCTTAGCTTTGATAGGAACAATCGGATCCGATCCGAAGGATCTGAGAGTGCATAAGCGAGGCTGTAGAACGATCTTTGGGCTCTCGGCGGACTTTAGTTTAGGAACTGAAACGGACGCGGGCGGTAAGCTGGTCGGGACGTCAGGCAAGGAGGATCGCAACTGGCAGTGAAGAGAACATGCCGGCGCCGCCATGGGAGAGGTGTGGGCTTGAAAGAATGTGCAGTGGAGGGATTGAAAAGGAGGAGGAATAGGAGGACTGTTCGTGGCGGCTTTTTGGGGTTTCACTTTCAGTTGGGTGACGACACACGCAACCTATCAAAAAAAAAAAAAAACCCTCAAATGAACGACTCTTCAATAAAAAAATAATATCACGTTAAATTTGAATGATTTTAAATATGCTAACTCAAATTATATAGAATTATAAAAAAATGCAAAAATTTAGTCATTAGCGACTGCATTTTTTAAATCTATCTACAAATATAACGCACAATTTTATATAGTGAAACTCTCGAGCCTTTGAGTCATTGTAAACTCTCGAGCCTTTGAGTCATTATAAACTCTCGAACCTTTGAGTCATTATAAAAGTGGTAACTTTTATATTTTAGGACCATAATGAGTTACTATGTTAAATAAATAAAAGTGTTATAATACATTAAAAAAACATTCTAGTTTTCTATTATCACACCTTAAATATATAAGAATTTAAAAATAAATGAAGTTTGATTCTATTGTAACGTGGCATAAATTGCAACATTTTGTGATAATTTGAATGACGTTTTATTCACATCTTCGAAATTTATAGTACATGATTGATGCCTTAATTCTAATTTATAGTACATGATTGATGTCTTAGTTCATATTATATAAATCAGCATTTCAAAATATATCAATATTTACAGAAAAACAAAAGAATTGAGAATGCGATGTGAACCCAAATGAGTGAGATGCATTGTGAGATCACAAATTTGCATGCCCATATCACACATCATCTCCAATGCAAACCATATGTGGTAAGCATATAAAAAAGAGTTTTAATGCTTTCTTTATATGTTTTATAATTATAAAACATTTTTTGAATGACACTTCAATTAAAAAAAAAATGGTAAAAGTTGAAAATTTAAGATAAAAATGGTAATACTTTACAAACATTTATGAAGTGAAAGGGGTAAGAAGAGGGAAGAATCTGTTGCATGTAACGCCTGAAGGAGGCGGTGGAGGGGCAGAATAAGAGCGCCGCTTGTACCGACATTCAGAACCCTCAAATTCGGGTCCAAAACAAATAAATTGGAATGTTTCAAAACAAATACTTCTTCAACTCAAACTCAAATGATTAAGTGACATTATGTTCTTCACTAAAATCTTCAAAGTCTTAAGAAAAATTAGAGAAATGATGGGAGCTTATTTTCCAAAGCATTCAAGATTTCTACCATATGATCCAACTTCCAAAGCATTCAAGGAGGACACACAAGGAACTTTGATTACCTCAGCATTCACCACTTGCATGTTCCTTCTGAAACACAAGCAGTAGTAGGCCGAGGCATAGGGATGAGAGACAAATTTGGAAGTTTCTACAAAATCAGTCTTCGAACACTTGCCTGCCCCCCTCCGTCATGGCATGCCTTTGGCTTCCATCCAAAATAGTGTACCATAAGAAGGGACAAAATGTAACCATGTTAATTAACAATTTAGAAGTGTTACACATTAACATCACTAACTCCATCCATTGGACTAACACAACCGAGGGTGATATTATCTCTAAATGAGCACTTAATGTACGGAGAGACAGAATCTAGCTACATACAGGGCAGTGAAAAGTTGAACAAGAAGGAAGGATTATGAGTGAGTTACATACAGCGTGGGAAAAAGGTTGGCCCCACGTAACCCCCAGCCATAGCCCTTCTCACATTAGATTCGAATAACTTCGGATTGTCTCTTAAAACTGCAGCAGCATCATGATTCAGAGGATCCTCATCGTTTGGTTCCTGGTTGGAAATTAAAAAACAGGGTAAGAAGACAACTTATGAGTTTTAAATGTTCCCAAAACTGAAGCATTTTACTAATGAGGCTTATTTATACCGTGAACAGATGGTAGAGTCCATAAATAACAGTGTTAATATTGAGAACAGGTTTCCAATCTTCTCGTAAGATGTTGAGGCAGACGTTTCCTTCCAAGTCGATGTTTGGATGGTAGACCTGCATTAAGTACAAGTTAGTATATACAAAAAAAAAATTCATTTATATTCAGAAAGAATCAAATGCTAAGGGTAAGGAGCCATCCAGGTTTACCTTTGTCCTGCACTTGACCTTCGGGGCTTCATGCGGATAGATGGGGGAAACTGTAAAGGAGAACAAAAATGTGCCTCCTCTGTAATATAGAGAAAAGCAAGCAGTTAGGAATATTGGCAAGTAAATATTAAGAATGCTATTAAGATATTAAGAAGGCAGGAAAGCATATTTGGAGTTGGTTAGTGGAAGGCATAAGCAGATGGGAGGAACAGAATTTGGGATGAGCAGTTTTCTAGAATTAGTTTGTGGGATAGTACAAGGCTCCTGAAGTGCATCGGAAACTTCCCACTTTCTTTCCATATATCAGGAGTATTTTGTGTTAGTTTCCATTTCAATTTCTGGTTTGGAGTTAACATCTAGACTGAAAGAAATTAACAAAAAGAGGAAAATATCCTCAACTAGCAGGCAACAGTTTAAGCTAAAAAGATTGCAGATTGCTCGAGTATGAATCTTGGAGAAAAGAGAATTCTTACAAATAATATCCCTCATCTGGTCGTATTGACACTTCAAAGTTCATCAGGTCATCCTTGCCATTGGGAAAGGTTATGTTACATGATTTTGGTAGATTCAGCTCACTAATATCTGCAACAGATCAGGCACCAACAATAACTAACCGACAAGGTATATCCCTCTCAAATAGGCATACAAGTAAAGAAAATAGTTGGAAAACAACTCCAACTGAATAAACAGACTTCCAGTGCCATATGCTGGAGTGTGACTTATCTCAAATGCAATTGGAGAAATCATCTAAATAAAGAACCCACGAGTAAATAACAAAGGCAGTGAAATTTGGACATCCCTCTCCAACATAAGTCATACGTTATATAATAAATATTAAAAATAAAAACAAAATAAAAAAATAGGTCACTCCAAGCTTTTAATGCATGAATTTTAACTATCCAGGTTCTTTTGAGCATTAATGCCCCCATCGCTTCTGAATGTGACAAGACAACATATATGATCATAATCTTCATTGACATTTAAGAAACAGATGACATCTTAGGATGGAACACTTTTTTTCACAACATTAGCAAAATTTACAGTCTCACTTAAGTCGAACAATTTAATAACAGCTACTCAATTGAATTGAGACTGTTTGAAGGAATCATTCGTGGTTAAATTAGTAGAAAGAAACCAAAATTAGCTTCTAATGCTACCACCAACTTTTATATACTGAAAAGATCGTTTTGGGTTTTCACTCCCCATATCATCAGACATCAAGCAAAGTTATTAATTCTTGGCATTCTCATGCACCATGCATCTCAAAAGTTTTCATGAGTAACTTCCCACGAGGACATCCTCTCACTTAATTTTCTTCCAATGTACTGAGTGTAAAGAACCCTGGCAGGTTCACCTAGCCTTGCAGGCATCCACATGATTTTCCAGGATCCATAAAAGTGTAGTCTAGCAGAAAGTGACAAAAATGTGACTATGAGCAACCAAATTGACAGACATAATTCCCAGTTGGAGGGTAGTACATGGAAATCCACACACTAAAACATACCAGTTAACTGCTAGGCCAGGGACCGAGTAAATTACCAAAAACTTAAAAAAATACACGCTGACCATCCATCTTTATATAAACTCAGGACATTCATGCATCTTAGAACAACCTCAAATAATCATATACTATCATAAGTGCATAGAACGCACATTGGGAAATATGGTCTTTGAATATAAGACTTCTTATTTATACATGAAATCTCAAGCTACTTCATCAAAATTTAGGTTTTCAAAAAAAATATGCTAAAGTTTGCAATATTAACCAGTTAACACGCATTCCTACACCCAATCCACAGAAAAGAAGCTTCAAAGTTGCAACTCAAAATCTATTATCGATGTTAACAAAACGAATTTGATATAGATCCAAACAAAACCATCATCTCTAATGGGATCAAAACTATCACCTCATTGCTTCTCAATGGAATATAAAGAACCAAATAAACTCTTTTCATAGCCAAACCTTTGTGAAGACGTAGTTCTCCAGCACTTTGCTTCTTTATAGGTACCCCATTACTAGCATTTTCAGCAAGTTCTCTCTGCTTCTCCTTGACTTTAAACAGCTTAATCATATCTCCTGCAGCAGAATATGCAATTACATCCCATAAATATATGGTGTTCTTTCAAAAACCTTCCTCCCTTCCAGGATAAGAAACCAGCGTTCATTAGCAAGAATATAACAGCGAAAAAGCAAGGTCAGACCACCCAAGAATAGGTTAACAATACCATAGTAGCACCTAAAAAAAGGAGCCTCAGCTGCATGTTGAAGAGAGAGAGAGAGAGAGAATTTACTAACAACTTATTATAAGAAATCCAATCAGAGGCGGACAAATAAATCGCACTCCAAACGTCCATCAGAAACCCCTTCATATCTTGAAAACCCCTTCCAATCCTCTCCAATAAACAAAAAAAAAAAAATCATAAACACAACTTAGAGAATAGCCTGTGAGGGCAATGTACATCTCTCTCGAAGCAGGTGATGCAACAAAATCTCTTCAAGCATATAACAACATCATAGATTCGTGACTGAGATCCAACAGAATGCCAATTCCAAATTAACAACAAAAAGCTAAGCTACGTCTCCATGGCAAACAAAAAACGCAAACGATAAGGTTCTGATCCTCCAATTCCTCTCTAGAAAGAACACCACTTAGAAATTCAGACTACAAAGCCAACGAACAAAACATTCGCATGGAAGAAACTGTTTACATAATGCACAGTCCCAACACTAAAACCATCCCAAACAAATAATCATATCCAAATCCTGATTTAGAAAACGAAAAACAAAAGTGGTACAAATCAAAGCCACCATACTTCCAATGCGATTTCGCGAGTAATTAAATTTAAATTACGTTTCTAATCACTATCGAGCAATCCACAGCCTAGGTTCCCAAAACCAAACCGACAGCAAAGAATTGAATAAACAAATAATGCCGTAAAAGATCGTAAGAAAGAAGAAGTAAAACGCATAAAAAAAATTGCAGTAAACGAGAAATCGAGAGGGACAAAGGATTCTTAAGAAGCAAACCTGTAAGTCGTAGCAATATAGAGGAAAGGAGAGGAGAGGGAATTTAGGTCTGAGAAGGAAGAAGGAACGGAGAGGTTCTGAGGGCAGGCGAGCAAGCGGTCTGGCGAGCGTGGCTGAGCCCTACGGTCAACATATAAATGTTGCCTTCGATTGGACTGTCGCACAGAATTCCCGAATTTTTCTTGAGCTTTTTTGTTACGCTGCTTTTCAGTTTTTAAATATTATTATATATTCATCATTTGTATCCTTTTTTTTAGTGTTTACAACCATCTAAATTATTCTATTTTAATCATTAAATTTTCCCAATATTATACTTTTAAGAACTAAATTGTTTTTTAATTGGAAAATTAAAATAATTTTTTTAAAATTCAATCATCAAAATCATAAATAAATAAAAAATAACTCGAGCTAAAACATATATATTATAGGTACATTTAGACGTAATGAACGAACTCAATTTTAAATAGACTTTCAATCTAAATTTGTTTTCAAACCACTGGTTCACAGGATAAGGTTAATGTGACCTTATGATCGGAGGGAGAATCATAGGAATGTTGCCGACATTTTTCATACTCGAAGTTCATGTGCAAATTTTACAAGCCAATTTTCTTCTTTCGAGTCGATAACACCAAATATTGTTGTCAAAATCTAGACACAAAAATTGCTTATGGCTTTCTTGTGATTACAACGGTTAATTTGAGTAGGCATAGAGGGAGAGAGGAGAGGGGAGAACGTGACGTGTAAAAGGAGAAGAAATCTCACGTTGATACGATACTTTGTCGCACCAATTTTGATACCTAAGTTAACACAATGAATTTCAGTGTAGCAAGAATTTAGAAAATCACAAAAGTTACCTCCTCAACCTTTAGGTTTTATACGTTTTCCTCAATGAATTAGATTAAACATGAACAAGATTCAGGTTGAATTAGAGAAACACAGATTGATGGCATGTTTGGTGTCACGGTCGTACTTTTTCAGCCGTGCGATGTCGTGATTTTGACACGTTCACAACAAGCACTAAAGAAAAATTCAAATCTCATTCACACTTTTTGTCCGACTTTGTGGATTTGTCAAACTTTCGACCAGGTTTGCCTTCACCAACAGAACACAACTTGTATAAATTTTAAGCTTGTTCGATCACACATACATCACGTGCATGCATGACATGTCCCACCTTGTGGTTGGCGCCCTCCTTGGGAAAAAAAAACATTAAAAAAAAAAAATCAATCCATTTACTTGGTAAGGCATTAACAACTTCCTCTAAATGAAAATTCCAATTTCCAATTAATTTTTTCAAAATAAAAAAAGAAAAAAGAAATTATAATTATTAGCACAAAATTATTCACTGGATCTATTTTTCTTTAATGGTAAGTGTCCTGTAAAGCACTTGTTAACCAATCAAATTTAAATACAAGGCTGAAATTTATGGAATGGAAAACAGAGAATAAAAATAACTTTTATGGAAGCATTTTGCAAATAATATCTCTAACATAAAATAAATATAAAAATATCATTATTTTTTTTTTTTAGTGCAAATTATTCTTACTAAAAAATATTCTTCTTTTCTGTAGATAACAATTAATTTCTAGCTTAAATTTATTTAAAATTCAATTGCATATATATTTGAGACTGGACTCGTGTCTATATATTTAGAGCTGGTTAAGCTAGCACAGAACGATTTTGGTGCGTAAACTTATTGAATGTAATATTACGAATATACCCATCAAATTTTAATATAATATAGTATAAGAATGCGAGGGGAGAAAGGGAAATTTGAGGCATTGACATTGATGAAAAGAAAACAATAAAGGTTGAGAAGAAAACAAACATTAATTCACAATTTTTTTTTTTTTTTTTCATCTCTAAAACCAGACACGCTAAACGACAAATCCACCTCGTTTTTGCAACACTCTGTGTTAAAAGATCTGTTCTTTTTCAACCCCTCAATTTTGCCTATAGGCTATGTAATTCGACAGGGCAATTAACGGCTCCGCCTTCGCCGGATCAAATCCGGCTAGCGCTTCTCCGGCTTCTCTCTTTAGCGTCTCCGCAAATTCCTTTGATTTTTCGATTCCGAGTAATTTTGGATACGTCGCTTTGTCCGCCGCCAGGTCTTTTCCGGCCGTCTTCCCCAATTCCTCCGACGACTTTGTCACATCTAGAATGTCGTCTACCACTTGGAAGAGTAATCCGATCTGTCGGGCGAATTTCCTCACCTTCTCCACTTCGGTGTTGCTTCCGCCGCCTATGATTGCTCCCATGACGGCGGCGGCTTCCAGAAGCGCTGCCGTTTTGTGTACGTGGATGTACTCGAGGAGTTCCAATCCGACGTCGTTAGAGCCTTCGGAGTCTATGTCCACCACTTGCCCGGCGACTAACCCTGATGTTCCGGTGGCTTTTGCCAATTCTCCAATTGCTTGGACCACTCTCTCCGGCGATACCCCCGCCTCTGTCGCCACTGCGATGTGCTCAAATGCGAAGGCTAAAAGAGCGTCACCGGCGAGGATGGCTATGTCCTCACCAAACATACGGTGGCTCGTCGGCTTTCCTCGCCGGAGGTCGTCGTTGTCCATGCATGGAAGATCATCGTGGATTAAAGACATGGTGTGGATCATTTCAGTGGCGCAAGCGGCCGGCATAGCGGCAGACTCAGAACCACCAACAAGCTCGCAGGCAGCGAGACAGAGCACTGGCCGTACACGCTTCCCGCCGGCGAGGAGAGAGTAACGCATGGCCTCGTGAATCTTCAGTGGGTCCCGCAGGGAAACGGCGTCGTTCAAAGCTTGATTTACCAAATTAGCCTTCTGCACCATGTAGTCTTTGAAACTGAAGACCCCTTTTTGGTCATTTTGTTCAACAACCGGGCGGAGCTCTGTTTCTACTCTGGTTTGCGCCGCCGATATGCGGAGGTTAAAGGAAGGTTTTTTAATGGATTTGGAGGAAAAAGACGACAAGGGGTTCCATGGATGAAGAAAAGAAAAGGATTTTTGATTGAATTTCTGAGAATTGTTGAGAACAGAGTTGCTCTGAATCAATGGATTCGCGAAACTGACAGAGCTCATCTTTCTTCTTCTTCTTCTTCTTCTTCTTTTCTCTGTACAGAGAGAAACAGAGGGAGTTTGTGAATCTGTGAACACAAAGGGACTTCGCTTTATATAGGAATCTGCTAGAATTCAGATATCATATACCACCTATATATATATATATGCATGTCGAACTTTATTCTATTTTATTATAATAATTATTTTCCAATTATGGTAATGAAATTGATTATTTAAATTCGATGAATGAACTTATTATAAACGACATCTTTATAAATTGCAAGTTTTAAAGGTTAAATATTAAAAAAAAAAGTATTATTTTTTATTGAATTTTTTAATGGTAAATTAAATTATTATAAATTTTATTAGATTAAAGTTTATGACTTAAATTGTTGATTAAAATTGTTAGGTAAAAGAATATATATATATATAGATATAAGATAAAAATTAAAATTTATGTTTCAATAATTATTTGACTTTTGAAAATTGCCTTGTAAACGTTATTTTTATTAATATTATTTACTTTTTACCATGTTCTCAAAATTTTTTGAATAAAAAAATTCTTAAAATCTTATTTTTATTTTTAAAATTGGTTGATAATTCATATATTTTTCTTGATAAAAATAAAAGCAATAGTAAATAAATGGAATAAAAAGGTACAATCTTCTAAAAAGAAAAACCAACCATCAAATGATTATTATACAATATAATAAATTTATTAGATATAAAATAAAAAATCGAATGATATAATATATTTAAAATTTAAAAAATAATAAAATAAATTAGTATTAAATCCTCTATATAGTTTTTTTTTTTTTTTTTGCAATAATTTATATGTATTCTTTTATTCTAAAATTAATTTTTAGAAGATTAAAAATAAAATTGTTTAATTATATATTTTGTTCCCAGAGAATTGATATTAATAATAAAGGATCGAAAGATATTAAAAAAAATAATAAAGAAAAAAAGAGACGTAATTATAAATTAAGAAAAGGATAAAAAAGGAAAAAAGAATTAAAATGAAGATGAGCATCGTTTACGGTGCCCAAGAAAGAGATGCCAAAACGTAAGATTTTGGATTTTATAAACTAATTACCAAAACTGCCATCTGCCATCTCATTTTGGAACCTTTTGGAGATGGCTCCATCTGCCATTTTTCATTAACCCCAAAATACCCCCCATTGCCTTCTTACCCAATTTTCCTCCCTTTTTCTTTTTTTCTTTTTTTTTTTAATCAATAAATACAAAATAATTACAAATAAAAGAAATAACTCATTTTTGTAAATAACTTCAATATGTCCCTTTTTGGTCAGACAATTAATAGCCCTAACAATTTTCCTTATTTTAATTAAACATTTATTAAATAAATATATATATAAGCAGGAATTTAGGCAGAGGAATACAATTTTTATATTTTCATGCACAAGTCAGTGTAACTAATGAGGAGAAATCTCTTCTCATTCTCTCTCGAACCTCGTTTACGATGGGTACGTGAATGGTAATGGCAATAGCATTGCAACGATAAAATCGAGGGAATCTTTAGGAAAAAAGTGGGTCGTGCAATGGTAGAAGATTGCACTTAACTTAGATTTTAAATGAGTCGATATAAACTCGAGAATACATTTTCTAGATTCTGTTTCGATCTTATCTATATCAATATTATAAGGGTGTAGAAACATAAATAGGAATGAAAATGAGAAGAAAAGTTATAAAAGTATGGAAAACGAAATTCAATCAGGGCTGCTATGGGTTTGACTGAATGAATATCAATGCCCAAAGTTTGTTAGTAGTTATGCTTTCAAATGCCTCATGACACACATTTATGATACACATTTATGATATACATTTATCACGCTTAATTCCTCGTGGTTTTTGCAGCTTTCAAGTCTTACGTGTGTGTACACTTGAACTACTTTTAAATGTATTTTTTTTATTAATATTTTTAAAATTCAAAAAAATATTTTGAAAACTAATAGATAAGTTTTAAAAATTAATATAAAAAAATGAAATAATTATAAACGAATTGTCTTTTTTTTTTTTTTTTTCTAAAAATGAAAGATAATATAACATTTTGTAGTCTGATGGGCCAAGACAAGTTTGGGCTTTAAAAGAAACATGACCCACAAATCGAAAAAATTTAAAATAATTTATTTTCCATTTATTTTTCACACAATAGTTAGGATGTAATTACTATTAAGCCCTCTTGCATAATATCACATCTAAAGCAAACAAAAATGAAGACAACAATTACTCGTTCTTCGAGGAAAAAGGAAATTACTGCAGTAAAATTTAAAACAAAACATTACTTTTTTAATCTCCAAACAGTAACCCATGATAATTTATCGCTTCAGTGGCGACTCGATTTTTAACTTATGAGTGTTCGTTTCTTTCTGCTTCTCCCTACTCCTTCACCAAATACAAACATTGAATCATCACATGGTTGCTAAAGCAGGTCAAGCTTCATACGGGTGTCGAAAAATTATATTACTAATAAAAGGTTGATTCTCATGTCAAGAATTTAAAGCAGAGTAGACAATATTTTAATTATGTAATAAATAATATTACGTATTTTTTAAAAAGCTAAGTTTTACGATGGAGGTACGCAATTAAATTAGGTTATTAGGTTTGATTTGAGTTGATAACTTAAGGGCTAAGTTTTTTTTTTTTTTTTGTTTCTCGTGCAAGTTATGTATAAATTTCTTCCATGTAAATAATAATAATTATTATTTTTAAAAATATTTTAAATTTAAGGGAAATCTGTATTTGGGTGGGAGAGTGATGTTTGATAAAAATATATATATACTGATAATATGTCTGAATATAAAATCATGAATAAAACAACAATGATATTAATGAATAATTAATGGTAGTGTGGAATTTAATATTAAGAAAGCTACAAATTAAAGTTGAAAAACATGACAATATTTGACTATGATGTTTAATAATAAAAAAAATACAATTAATTTTAAAATACCTCTCAAATATGGACAAAATGTGACCAATAAATTAAATAAACATATTAAAATATAATTAATATTCATTAATTTGATTTAAATCTCATTTTAGTACCCGAAATTTGATGGATGATATTATAGTCTCATTTTAGTATCCGAAACTGACAATCATATGTAATGGGTCAAAACATTCTTAGAATACTGTCTTAAAATTGTCAAGCTCACAATAATATGTAACGGGTCAAAACGAATAATATCTACTAATAGTAATGACGGATAGAAATGGTATCATAGCCAGACACTCGACGGTGTGTCAATGAAAACGTTGACTCCAGAGAGGGAGTTATGAGATCCCTATCGGTTGAACTGTGAGGCTTGTGCCAGCAAGGACATAGCAAGGAGACACTCGACGGTGTGTCAATGAAAACGTTGACTCTAGAGAGTGAGTTATGAGATCCCTATCGATTAAACTGTGAGGCTCGTGCTAGCAAGGACATAGCAAGGACATTGACCCTAAAAGATGCTATGCTAGCAAGGCTTGTGCCAACAAAGACATTGACCCTGACCGCTCGTGCCAGCAATGACATTGACCTGACCCTGAGGCTTGTGCCAACAAGGACATGGAAAGTGCTGATAGCAAGGACATTGACCTTGAAAGGTGCCAGTAGAGTGGTAAGTTGTGAGATCCCATATCGGGTTCGGGTTCACAACCATGAAGCTTGTGCAGGTCAAGATGCTTGACTCGGAGAGAGGAGAAAATTGGAATAAATTTATTGATGATGATTAAAATTTGAAGGCCTACTACTGAGGTGTCTCCTAAACATTACACATTTTTCCCCAGCCATAAATTTCTACCATTACACATATATGTGAATTTGTATTTAATATACATTCATATATTTACCTCTTTACAAAACCAAAACCAAAACCAAATTCATGATTTTCTTCCCAAAATTCCTTCATTGATTCTTCTCTTTCAAATTCTCAGCCTCCAAATTCCCAGAACAGGGCTGCTGTTTCATGATCTTCACACAACTCTTCGTCTTCCCCACATGAATTTTGAGATAGAAATTCAAGAACAGCAGCAAAATGGCTCCATTCAGCACCGAATTGAAACCCCAAGCTCCGATTCCATTGCACCCCCCTTTCATAAAATGCAGCATCAACACACCCACATGGCACGCCAGATTGCAACCCAACAACGCAATTTGACAGTTCATAACAAAAGGGAAACACGCCCTTCGTAATCCGATCGCCGTCCAAAATCTGTACCCGTAAACCACTGCGTATAGGAGCGACGTCGAGAGAATCGCCAGAACCTGAAAAGACTGTGAAAATTCAAGCCAGAGGAACGACATAAACGTCGAAATCGAGTGGTTGAAGAGCTGGAAGAAGGAGAGCTCGCGACGGCGAAGAATGGTGAAAATGGTGCGGAACATATGGAAGAATCGAGACAAATAGTAGATGTAGGACCAGAAGAAAACGCGGCCGGAAGGGCGAGTGCCTAGAGGGAAACAGAGGAGCCATTGGAGGGGAGTTTTGGAGCGCCGCCAGAACCACCGGGTGTCGCGGATCTCAGCAGCGGAGGAGAGGAGGATACCTGCGGAGATTAGAGTGGAGATGAGGGCCATGGAGAGACAATGAATGGCCGGAATGGGGCCGAGAGGTACGGGGCGGCCGGGACGGAGGAGGAGGCTGAGGAAGAGATGGATGGCGATGGAGAGGGCGAGGTAAAAGACGATAGAGGAGAAGAGGAAGGACCAAGTGGAACCCCATGAATGGGTATGGCTCCACCGGAATCCGACGATCGAGGGGTGCTCGGAGAGCCAGTAGGTTAAATCGGTGATCGGCATGATTCCGGCCTTCATCGCCGTCGACGTTGAGAGGGAACGATCAGACGGCGGAGCGTGGGATTTACGTGAAAATCATGGGGAATCCATGGAAATGGCGAAATCGGAGAGAACTTTGAGGGGAAAAAGGGGAAAGGGAGTCTGTTCGTGAGATGCAGAAATTTTGGGCCATTTTTTAGCGGAAACGTGTGGGTCTAAATGGAAATACCTTTTTTTATTTTCCCTTTTTTTATTTTTTCTTTTAACCATCCACACGTGTAAACCTCTCTCACACGTG